GGGGGGGGGTGGTCGCGGTCCCACCGGTGAAATCAAGACACCTTTATAATGCCTCACTCGGCATGGCGGATAATATGGCGAAGGTTTTCGATCCGAGAGAAACGTTCCGCGTCGCAGGTGAGCATGACGCACAGTCACTCTCACGGAAGTGGGGGGACTCGGAGGACGGAAGGCAAGGGAGGCCGCCGATGCATAACGGCACCACTGCAAGCACCACACTCCTACATAGATTGCATCACTGGCCCACAATTTTCAGTCACTACCAGTGAAGGCCATAAATTCGAGGTGTCATATCATGATCTCCAATGATACTGGCCATGGCCAGCGCATTACACCCTAAGTGTACCCTAATACTACAGATGATTTTCGAAAAAAACAAATCAAGGTCTTGATATTGATGGACATATTAAGCAACGACACTGGCATACATATGTTCGACCATATCGACTACTTTGTCAGAACGCGGTCGAATATCACAGATGAACGGCTTAGGGTGACTGCGCCCCCTCATCAGTATTCCCGGGCAAACTGGAATGAGTAGCGTCATACCTGACTGCTCCGGAGACAAATATGGGCTCAGGAGTAATTTCCATGCCATTGAGGTCGCGCGCCTTCCGAATATCAAGAACTGCTAACATCCGAGCTGCTGCGATCCAGACACTACTGTCGGCGAGATGGCGACCTGGGCAAATCCTGCTCGAAAAAATAAGCTACGTGAGTGGTCTTACAATAGCGGTGAACATACCGTCGACCGAATCCGAATATCATCCTGCGCGAGTCCTTGAGCTCGGCCTCCTCCGCGTCCATATTCTCAAATCGTTCGGGTAAGAATGTTTCTGGGTCAAAGTACATGTTCGGATCTCTTGTCATCGCTCTAATCAACACGGCTGTTAATATTGCATCTGCACCACGACTTTAGTAGCGATGTTGATACGAACGAGATATTCGCAACGATCATACACCCCTTCGGGATGTGGTAGCCGTTGTACTCATCATCTTCCATGACACGATGCGGGATACCTGATTTTGGTAGTATGTGCATCAATAACATTTTCATTTGTGAGCTGTCGCTGAGATCTGACCTAGAGGTGCGGTAGCAGCCCAGCTACAAGAAATCCTGATCAGTATAGGATCGAACAGGCGAAGTTCCTGAAGGCCACACCGATAGACCTCTTTGATAACACATTCAAGATAAGGCAACGAGTTTTCGTCATTCAAGTCGGGAAGACGTCCATAGCCAATCACGCGGTCGACCTCCTCCTGTGCTTTCTGGAATACTTGGGGATGGAGAACCATAGCTAAAACAAACGACTGGAGAACAGAGTTTGTCTGAAAAAAAAAGTTGAGCAAGTCGATTGAGTGGCCACTTGAGCCTTGACCTACAGTATCAGAGCCAGCTGAGCGAGTAAGATATAAGACTCGTTTATTGCACGGAGACGGATAGCTTACCGGCATACATGACGCTCGATGCGCCTCTCATTTGAGCTTCGTCTTCAGGAGTAGGGGATCTATTTTTCGAATGCTCCTCTAGTAGAGTCTTCAAAAATGATGGCTTTGCAGATCCCGATTCCTGCACAGTTCATTTGAGCATCAATCTGTCACCGCATGATCGACAAGATTGACCATCTCTTCCTTGACCTGTCTGTAGGGAATGTTTATCATCGCTTGCGTCAGTTCGTAGGCCTTGATAGCTCTTCGCTTGAAGCCAGAACCCGGCATCCACGTCGGTATATACTGCACTAGGGGAAACATGAGCATCTTGACATGCTACACAACGGACCCGCTCACACGGCGGAATGAAGTCGATCACAGTAGACGCAAGGCTACCGAGTTCCACCACCTCTTTCAAAGTTCTGTTTGAGAGATCGACAAATTCATCATCTGCATGTGAGACGGGGCGTCCATATGCGATCTCCATCATCAATGCAGAAGGATATCTGATGATACAAACCGGTACCAGATTGCCGTCAACAACAAATTTCATAAAAGCGGGGTCTGCAGACAAACCTCTTGATGTGCTGAATGAACGCGTTGGGAGATTCGATTATGTCCTTTACTAACTTCAATGATTCTCGCTGCTGGACGGGGCGGTATTTGTCGAGCGACTTGAATATGGTTTGAAACCATTTACGCTGTAGACGCCACTCCTCCGCGTATGGAAGGAATACCATGATTGGCTTATACCCGATCCTGTATAAAGCATCAAATCCAGTACAACTAGTCGATAGAGTGATGAAACATACATGTCGCTGATCACGATGGAAGGTGGCCTGTCCGAGTAAATAGCACCCTTCCTCTCCAACAGGTCTTCCGCTGCCTGCACGGAATTCAGGATGATCACCTGAGTGCTCAAGAATTTGGCATAAACAACAGGGCCTGAGGCAAATGTGAATATACACCGTTCAAATGCAACCATACGTACCATATTTTTTACCCCAGGCAGTGAATGCGTTTTGTTGATGCTCAAATGGTACTTGATGAATGTTTCCGACTAGTGGGAGTGGGGCCGGACCTGGAGGAAGGCGCAGTTTGGACCCAGGAGCATTCCATTTACCATACACATAGATGAGGCCAAATAGCAAGATGGCTGCGGCTACAATATCACTCGCAGCCATTTCGGAGGACTGAGAGTACAGTGGGCTAACGAAACGCACATAGTGTCCGGAGCATCTTTTTTAAGACGGAGATAGCTGCCAAGATGTCCCGGAAAAATGGCTTGCATACGTCAACGGTATGCATCGCATGGGAAATTGTTGAGAGAAGCAGTCGGGGTACCTCCGACGTATCGATTTTGAATTAATCGAATGAATATGGACCAGCAGACCACGCTCGCTCGGAATCTTTACCTCCTGTCCGGAGAGAAAATGACTGACAAATGAGCATCTAAAAAGTGTTATCAGAAAAGCACGTCATATGATGGGGCTTCGGGGCAGGTATAGAGCTCATACACAACAAATTGGCGCCTCATTGTACTCGATGATAAGTTGATGCTGCCAGTTTGGAGAACATCTACTTGGAGTCTCCAAACGAATTCAGAGCTGCATAACGTTCTGGGAAATCATTATCCCAGGGCACCATGATTTCATTCTACCATCGTGTAAGGTGTTAGGCGGTATTGTCATCACCGGCATGAGACGAGAAGTGCGAGAGCGTGAAAGCACGACCCTGTCTTCTGATCGTACTATGCCTTTACCGATCTAAACTTGTCCCAGCGTTAGTGGTGTCGGCGGCGCTGCAAATCCATTTACTAGAAAACGAATCCAGCACGGATGTACACGGTGTGTCCTACATACATTTGACACCTTCGGTTTGTGTCATAAGACATCTGAGCGTCTTCGATTATCGAGTGATCTAAAGGTATTAGATCATGTCAGATCCATCGTACCATACGCGCATGCGATCCACATGAAATGGGGATAACACGGATGCTGTAAGTTGTCGACGTGCAATGCAGCCACATGGGCAAGACTAGGACGATTGGGTATCCACACTGGCCAGCGACTGCTTGATGAGATATTCGCCTTCTCGGTTCACGGGCGAATACCAGAGACAAACGGCAGGAGATGGCTGCAGCTGCAGCACTCATTAGAGTTGTATGCGTTATGCCTTTGCGTCGCAGAGCACTATACCTCACCGCCTCGGACACGAACGCCAGTTCGCGATCAGATGTATTACGAGCCTTACGAATATCGAGCTCGCCCACCATCCTGGCCCAGCTTCTGGAATCTGCAAAAAATCGTCCTCAGTAGATATCACAAACAATGGTGTCAAAGGTGAGTCCTACACTGACGTGCAGGATCATGGCTATCAGTTTTTCCGCGTCTAGCTCCTCAAAGCAATCTCGACTGAATAATTCGAGTTCGGTATGTAATGCGGGGTCTCTTCATCGTCCCCCGTAGTATTATAGTAAGCGTGCGTGTTGTGTTTGGTCTGCATGTTAGTGCCTACCACATGCTGGGACGATACTCGAGCCCTTTAGAACATGGTAGCCATCGTGCTCGTCATCGTGCATACTCTACAAAAAATTTCTTATGAAATTGAGACATGAGTGTGGTGCGAGACAGTCCCGGACGGGAGAGGACAAGCCGAGAGCGTGTGACCTGTGGCTAAACATCAGCCACCGACGGATATGCCGCAGCGGCCGAGTATTGACAGACGAACTTGAAGTAAACCCTTCCGTATATATTCTAGACGTTCTGTAGTAGAATAATAATCCGTCCATTCACGCTCTTCGCTGCCGACTATCATCATTCTCAACAGAGTGTGTACTGGGGTGATTCCGCTTCGTGCAAGCTTTACGTGTAATAGCTATAGTGCATAGTAGGTGCCAGCGCGGCAAAGTATCGTGTTGAACGCCAGGGACATCAGTGGGGTGGTGCCACCAAGGGTATCTTGACCTCGAGTCAGGGCTGCAGGCATCTTTCAGCTATACTTCGGAACCGCACGACATGTCCAGCCTGGGCAAGTACCGTATCGGGTACTTGACTCTGGTATTTGTGAGTCATTCGGTGCTTGTTCTTTCAGTACTGTTGACACTAGCGTAGGTAATTTCGACCCTTGGACACCATGCGCCCGGTATCTATCATTTATTCACTCGGAACATGTACTACTGTCCCAGTTCTGGTCCTGATAGCTTATCGCTATTTTGCTGATGCTGCCGAGCAGGTCTCTGGCCGCCCGGGCACGCACAAGTCAAAATGCATATAATACTAGATCTTCGGTGGTCACATGTCCCGTGCAACTCTGCTTGCATCTCGTCGCACCTATCCACTCACTCGTCAAAGCTGTCCGTTCAGAATGCGTTCGATCGCCTCAAGAACGTTCTTTGTGTCTGCCCTCCTTGCGCGTTGTGAGTTTCTTGTTTGTTCCCTTTCCGATATCTCAACTCATTCGCTGCAATTACATGTTAGATGGTGCTGCTAACAGCGTTTCAAATTCCGAGTATTTCACCGTTCCGGGATACGATGTCCAGACGCTAGGCGTCGGAGCCGATGGTGTTACAACATATATCATTTCTCGAATATCGTCAATGGCAGGTATTGTCAGCTTCGATGGACCTGGTCTGTGTTGACGTGTGCTCGTCTTCCGGTATTCAACTTGACTCACTGAAATCTGCTACAGTTACTATGGTTGAAGGGGCATCTACTTGACATACATGAACTCTGCCGAGAGCATTGAATTTATCGAAAACTGCGGCATCACGGGTAGCATTGCTGTCTGTACCAACCTTATGGTGATGGGGGGATCGTCAACTTCCACTTTTACCATCGTTGCCACTGACACGTTGTCGATGTCGACCTACCCGGTCGAAGGTGGCGCTCCCACCGCCATGGCTGCGTCTACCAGTGCGCTCACTAGGATCACCACGGACAGTACTGCCTCGTCTTCTGCTTCTACAACCACCACGGCCCAGAACAAGACCAGCGATGGCGTGAAAAGCACACTCTGCTCGTTAATACCTACCACGTGTTGGAACGACGATCGAGCCCTTTGGAATAAAGCAGCTGTTACTCGCCATCCTATGAGGCGTTCTTATACAACTCCTAACGGTGAAGCTCGACCAATAGGGAAGTTCAAAGTTGATGCAGCTGGACTCGCAGATGCGTCTTTAGGCGCTGAAGAAAATGCGAGCCCAAATGCAAAACCGCAAGAAAAGATGCCCATGTCTTCTGCTTATCTAATGTCACGCTCAGATATACAATTGCTATTTTTCCTTTTCTGAGTAATCATGATAACGAACGAGCACTACTATCATTGCACCAGTAATGCAACTTTTTCAGTATCTGGGCTCCCTATAGTGCAAATCTTACCAGAATGTTCCGGAGTTTTCACCAGTCGATGAAGAATGTTCGTAAGTACACACACGAATTTCGTAGGCTCAGTATGTCAAGGGTTAAGCAATACCGAGAGCAAAATGAAATCGCAACAGTAGTGCAACTTTTCTCCGAGGCACGTGACGTCAACCGTCAGAATGCCGCGCATTGCGAAGCTATGCGAAGTACGCCACTACTACCATCAGCTGAGTCAAGATTCACGATGCCGATTGTGGCTGAATGTCACAGATTTGAGTCGCTATCGTTCGACACAGGATTCAGGAGGGGTTCGCTTTGCAGATTATTCCGGAGAAATTAGAACAAGTGTGTGCATGTTCTTCACATGGCCATGGTGCGTTATTGTGTGAATCGGACATGGTGATCACATGCCCGAGGCCACTTTTGATTGAGATGTAGTCCTCAAAACACACTTGCGAGGCATTCGAGTCGCTCTCGCATTTTTCATTCATACGAAACCTACACAGTGGTGATCATACTTGTATTTTGTATCATACATGATTTATTGGGATTTTTAGAGGAGGAGGAGCAGCCGTAAGTTCAGTAATTGCACTACTGTTGCGATTGCATTACTGGTGCAATGATAGTATGTTTGGCGCTCCACCTTTGGGTATTTCCCACAGAGATAAGGGAGTCGATGTCACATAGGAAAGTCAATGTGACCGCATTTTCAACTCACAGCTCCAGAAACTCGCATTTTCTCTAGCGCCCAAAAGCGCATCTGCGGCGCAGAACTTTGTGCGAGCCCAGCTGCGTCAACTTTGAACTTCCCTAATGATCGGCGATCGTTGGAACTTGCAAGTACTGTAGGTACAGGTTCGGTCCGCCACGCAACGCCCGCATTCTGCCCTGCTTACCGAAAGAACTACGTGTGTTGCTCCTCACTGGCATGTGCCGCCTGTCTACAGTCAAGTAAGTTCGAACCCGTATTCAACTGTGCGTGCGATTATGCATGTCTCTGCTTCCACTCTTCTCCGATGGTTGCTCGTGCACTATCCCAGTGCTTCCCGGCCTACGATATGGAGAGCGAGCAAGGTTTATGCATGAAGAAGTATCAGGGCACCCGCGGAGTCTGGATATATGGAAGGTGACGACCTCCAGTTACTGTCGTCACGGCGCTGGCAACGAACAGCGCATTAGTCGCTGCCAGTTGACTGTGTGGGTATCATGCTGAGCCATAAGACACTGCAACATGGCGCTAAGGATCTCGAGTCATTGTAGGCGTCTTTCAACTGATATCGGAACCGCGCGACATGTCCAACCTTGGCAAACGTGGTAGTTGGGGTTGTCCATAGCTAGTTCTTGCACTTTCTTGTGTTTGTGAGTTATTCAGTGCTTGTTATTCCAGTATTGTCAGCACTAGTATAGTTGGTTTCGACCCTTGGGCATTATTCTCTGCCTGGTGTCCATCTCGAAACATATATAATACTAGTTCCGATCTTGGCAGTTGACATTTCGCTGATGAGCCGGGCAGGTCTGCGACAGCCCAGGCGTGTACAAGTCGGAATTTATAAAGAGGTCTTGAGCGGCGTTGTGCTCCCGTGCAACTTTGCTTGCGCCTTGTCGTACCAATCTTCTCATTCGTTGAAGCTATTCGTTCGCAATGCATGCAATCACGCCAAAAATACTCTTTGCTACTGCCCTCCTTGCATGTTGTCAGTTCTTTATTTGGTTCTCTCTCTGCTTTTTCAACTAATGTGCCGCGATACATGTTAGATGTTGCTGCTAGCAGCCCCGGTTCCGACTCGGATTACACCATTTCAGGATTCGACGTCAAGACCCTGGGCGTCGGAGCCAATGGTGCCACAACATATGTTATTTCTCCGGATGCGAGCGGCGTAACGTTGCAAGACGGTGGTGTCGATGGACCTGGTCTGTGTTTATCTGTGCTCGTCTGCTGGTAGTCGCGTTGACTCGTTGATTGCTGCTGCAGCTACTATCGTTAACGGCGCCTCTACTTTTGGGTTGACATACATTGACCCCACCAGTAGCCGCGCCTTTTTCCAGAACTGCGGCATTAGCGATGGAGTTGCTGTCTGTACCGACGTTGCGGAGCTGAGGGGAGCGACGTCCTTTACTACTACTACCGTTGTTACCGAGACGTTATCGACCTACCCGGTCCAAGCTACTACCTCCGCTAGCGTGTCAACTACTTCCACCGGTGTCACGTCCACCAGGTCCATCACCGTTTCGGCTTCTGGTTCTACTACAACCAACACGACCCAGAATAAGACCAGCGATGGAGTGAAAGCCATGTTCACTCCTTCCTATCTGTTGTTGGGTTCTGTGGTTGCCATTCTCATGGTTTTGTGAAGGTGTGCATGTGTAAAAACCTCCTAGTCAGACAGCTGTTTCATCTGGGTTCACGCTGCAAGGACTACTTTGTTGCATTGGTGTGTTCTGTGGTAGCTATTGTGTGATCACTGTGCTTTAATATACTATCCTTTTCAGTAGTCCGTAATATACTATCAAAGTTGCCTTCTTGATTGATATATTAACCGCAAGTAGTAGGTCGAATCCGAGACAACTTGGTCGAATCTAGTTGCTAGGCGTATCATGATGACCTAACAAGTTTGAATGCCATTGTCCGCTTGATCATATGTAGTAGCCGTTATGAGTCTTCCGTATATCGCCATTTAGTGTCAACAAAAGGCTTTGAGAGTTAATAGAAGGAAGTGTGAAGTTCAGATCGTTCATATCATCCGTTTGTCACTACTAATTTATATAGCACCATATAAAATGCGACACGTTTCCAATCCGAGACACCGTGGCACCGCTGGCATAGAAATACCAAAGATCTTCTTCTCTTTCAACGAAATGATTACGTGCTGGTCATTATGACAATGTGGCATGATTTAGACCGTTGACGATCTTGATTGAAATTTCTATTGCTGAGTCGATGATAGCTTTAGGACCTTGATGCAGGAGAATCTTACGAAAATCACTTCTGTCCATTGGGTCAAAAAGGGGCGACAGTGCCACAAGGAGTGTTTAGTAAAATCATGTCCATGGCAGCCAGGCCTTCCACTAACTTGCCAGTACTTTCTCTACAATAAATATAGAAAGTCCGATGGTAACCAAGAAACGCGTAGGTGAACTGAGCATCCTCTCAGCTGGTCGGAGCGCTAGTATTGGTCAACATTCCCTTGTCATCAGCAACTTGGGACCAGCTTTCAGCGGAAACTCGGCTCGCTTCCATTTTGTCCAAAGGATTCGAGGGGACGATATTCTTCCACTCCTTCGCGGGACCGAGGAGACGTCCAGGATGACATATGTTCATGATAAACATTGCGAGTGTAACCATCAAGGCATCCATGATGACTTTCCAGTGAGATGTAAGCAGGGTATGTGCAAGTGTAAGAACGAAATAAGAACATACCAAAATAACGTTGAGTATGGATGATATATCCGTTCCAGCCGTCAGCAAGCTCCTGTGCAACGTCAGAATGTGCCGCCCAAACCCCAGAGACAATGTACGTACGATCATGCGGTACCATGACCTAGTAAAGTTAAGATGAGCTCAGTTGTCGTGATAAACATGACCAGGAGCAGCGCACCGAAGATAAATGCACAAACTACTGAATGCAAGAGCAAAAAGCATCGTCTTCATGTTCTTGTCCAGCCCATATGGTGTCGGACTGGATACACGACCACGGATGGGACGGTCGTAGATATACCGAAACATGAACTCTGAGGCGAAGAGCACGTAGATTGTGATAGCAACTATAAGGGCGACTGATGAGTGCTCTTGTTCGGTCGGGAGTATAGATTCGCTACCTACTTGTTTGAAAAATAATGCCGGCTAACATGATGTTGCTCCCCTATTGCGATGGCGTGAAAGATCAGTAAACACGAACATGCTCAAGTAAGCTGGAGACTGACAGTTTTAGCATTCTGGGCAACGGAAGAAGTGGCTTCGGCACCGCCAAGTGCTTGCACGACTAACGAGATCACATCCTATATCGTGCATCAGCAGCTTCGACGCTGAGAGGTTTCACAAGTCTTACGCAGCTGCAAAAGATTATAGAGTCTACAAATTTGAGTTGGCATAGAAAACACATATTAACATCGCCAGCTTGTACGTACACCATCGAGCACTCAACCGGCTATACTGCTGGCCAAGCCGGCGAACACACTGCCCCATCACAACGAAACTGGCTGCGACGAGAGGTGTAGGAGCGATGATCGTACAGATAATCCTAATGTCACTTCGTAAATTGAGGTTCGCGGTAAACAATCCCGGCATGCTCACTGAATAAGATATGGAGTGTTAAGAAGCACATTATAGCTGGACCAGAGTCTCCCGGCCCAGCCGATGATCTCGAGAATGCCACAGGCACATATTGTGGGCAGCAAGACCCAGAGCCGATATCGAATCAGTTGTATAAAGTGAATGACTGGTAGAAATGTTGGTCCCTCTAGGTCATCCCAAGACATAATGCGCGTACATGTGGATAAACCAAAACAAACAATGAAGAGGACGCCCAGCCAGGCGTCGGGAGTGTATCCGTACGGCGAAACGATATCGTATTTGCTGTTCTCGTTCTTGACGTCAGCTGCGAATGCAAGTCCAGATCAATAACATGTCTTCGATTTCGAGCCAAATGGCGCCAAACCTTCCGAAGGCATAGCGCAATGTGAAAACTAGAATTAGATGAGAAAGAAGAATATGGAATATGAGCTGCTTTTTTTGTCTTGGAGTTTGAGGATTATATACGGGTCAAAGGAGCGCAGCAGGCGAAGGCATCAAAACCTGTGTCCCAAGTGACAGGTTGACGAATGCGGGCCTGGCATTGGCCCCGGTGCAAGCAACCGCAGAGGCTAAGGTAGGGACGGCTACACGCAGTCTTGTTCTATCAGTCCAGTCACATAAACTCCATCTATCAGATTTACGCAATACTGACCGACATTCGTGGGCCGATATATTTGCGAAGTATCGTTTCCGACGAAGCTGTGATACCCAAATACCCAGTGTGTAAGCTCTAGAAGGGTTTGCAAACAACTGCAAAATCGAGCTTAGAATGTTTGGAATTTTTGGGATGTGGATATCTGTCCTTACCGCAATATTAATGAGCAGAATCAGATGCGAAACATGCCTCGCCATAGTACTGCCAATCGACAGCACGCAGCACATTCAGCACTGCCGAGGCACAAGCGCCATGCGTTCGTGACTTAAATGCCCCTGCCCTCTATGAGACCGAATGCCGCTGCGCGGCGCTTTGTGGTTCATCTGAGTAAAAACAGCCGTCCAGTCGCTTCAAGGGCCCGCTCTTTATCGATCAGCGCAGACGAACCCCTACACATGTGCGTCGACTTGACAGAAGCGAGAATTGCTGTCTAGTCCGAGTGCTTACTCAGCAATGGGCCTCGAAACCATCCCCTTTGATTGTTGTTTGTTGCACTGAAGCCCGCAGCATTATGCGCAGGTTAGCCGTGTGCTCGCTTATCCTCCAGCTGCGCAGATTCCCCCTATCCTGTTGGTGACGTGAACACAGCTACAAAGGGCCATATACAGAAGGCGGTGCATAGTGATTGTTGGAGACCAAGTTTGCAAGCGCTGCCGATATAGCATCGGCCATATCATCGTAGAAAAGCATCAGAAGTGAATTGTTTGCATGATCATGCGCATGAAGGGAGTAGGACGGAGCCAGTCAAGGTCATCAGTCTGCACCGATACTGAAATTTAGAGTAGAAGTTGAACGTCTTTGCCACCTCTTAGTAAATCAACACAAACCGAAGGTTGCGAATCGTCTACGGACAATGGCTTGGCGCACGACACGTTATGGTGTGAGATTGCCCGACCTCACTGTGTGGCTTAATCGCGCAAAGTCCACGGCTGTAAAGATGCGATGGACTTGATTAGCAGCAACATACAGTGTAGTCTCTCGTTTCCAAGAATGATATTGCCCACCAGCGATAGCAGGGGGATGTTCCTTCAGCCAAGCTAGACATCTCGGGAGATATCCGAAGGGATGGATGAGGGGCGATAGCAAACATCCTGACTCGAACGTAATCATGCAGACTTACGTCTAAGCACTCCAATGAAGCAGTACGGCTTTATCATCGTTTGCGTTTACCGGTCGAAACAGTCGCTAAGCCCTGTCCCTTTCGTCTCCGGAGCGGTATAGCTATTAAATCCGAACCTTCCTCCCCGAGTCCATCAAGAAAATCCATATCAACTTCCGCCTCCTGATGAACGCCAGGAAACCTCCCGTCCTCGTTTGAAATTCGACTGGGATTCAGCCCAATGGCTTTCGTCCTCCCAAGATCCGCGTCGGATGTTTCATCTTCATCCTCATCATCCTCATTTTCAATGTCTTCGTAAACGAGCGTGCGCCCTTGTGCCAACGCAACTGCAAGCTCTTCGCTGATGTTGGATGTAGTGCGGGACTCAGGGCTCTGTGTATCCACACGCGAATAAGAGACGCCTTGCGTAGCAGATTCGCCCTGCGTCAACAAGGCGGATAGTGTCCGCACTGATTCTTCCAGATCACCATCATCATCGCCGCTGTCGAGCTTCAGCCTCTTGGCTTTGAAATTATATTTTCTGCTCTCGATATGTAAGCATCGTACTGGAACATGGCCTAGCCGCACGAACGCATCTCGATATGCACGCATGAAGCTGTCATATACAGAGACACTCGAACGGCCTGCTTTTGAAAAGTGACACGTACATGTTTGGGTCTGGCTCCCACGAAGGATCATGCGTCCTCATGTGTGCTGTTAGCGTTGTGCGTCGAGTAAAGGTTTTGTCACACATGGGATCCTCGCATTTGTACGGTCGTCTGCCTGTGTGCGTTCTGCGATGTCGCGCAAGGCTACTAGAGTCTCCAAATGTCCTGCCACACGCAGGATATTCGCAAAGGTGCGGTTTCTCCCCCGTGTGAACGCGTAGATGAACGTGAAGGGCCGATCGCTAGACGAGGTTGACAGTTAGCTCTGAGTCTTAGGTTTCAAAGATGAGACTACCTGAATGAAAGTCTTGCCGCAAGCAGCTTCTGGGCAGACATATGGACGCTCGCCTGTATGGATGCGGTTGTGGCGTAGAAGGTCGCTACGACGCGTGAATGTCTTGGAACACGGCTCACACATATGAGGATGTGCAACCTTATCGCGCCCCTTGTTCTTTCTTTTCTTCTTCATTTCCACTTCACTAGCAATGCCTGACCCCGATGAAGTTGATGCGGTAGGTTGTTCAAGTTCCGGCGTGAGGGTATCGCTTTCGAAGGGTTGCTGGGGGCGGCTTAGCTCTGAAGATACGGGGGAAGGCAAATGACCATAACGTCTGATAGTTGGTGTGCTGTCCGTGACTGATGGCACAAACTCCACGTCATGCCTTTGTGATATCCCGTCATCGTCACGATTGAAATGCGTGAAATGGTTCAGAATATCACTGATATCGGTAAACTCTGCTGAAACGGGAGAGGAACCACTGGGTGCAGCATCAGATGGCATTGGTGGGGAAGAGTCCCTCGCGCTCGCGTTACCTGGTTCTTCTTCTCGCTCGCTTTCTCCTTCATCGTCGTACAGGTACTCTGAACCATCAGTTCCGCTTGCGTTTCCACTTCCTGAGCCTCCATGTATGCTCGGAAGTGAGACCTCACCTGCGGTGAGCGAATGGAATGCAGGAGCGCTACGTGTCCTAGCCCTCTCGTGCTCTTCCTCTTCCCGTCGTCGAACAAACTCCGGATGACTGGCTGCTATTTCCTCAGCAACCCGTTCATTGCGTTCAGCTTGCGCACGAGCAGCAGCTTGCAATACCGCCGCAAGTCCACTGTGGTATCCGAACATGTCCACACCATCGAGTCCATGAGTACCAGTATTATCTCCCGAGTGGTTGGAAGATACGTCCAATATGTGCTGCTCTGCCTCGGTTTGTCTCTGCACAGCAACACTTAACAAATTAGCGGAAGCGGGGGATGTATTCTGGCCTAACAAACTGGAAATTTCGCGTTCCAGTTGCTCGACCGAAAATGATGGAACTCCACTTGCGACAATTGCAAGAGGCGAATGAATGTGGGAGTCGGAAGTATGACTGTGCATAGCCTCAATTTCGGCGTCCAGTGATAGGGGATCGACTGAGAAATGGGTAGAGGAACGAGACAAGTTTCCAGCATTTCTTTCCGAGAGTTGATTTTCGTCGGCTGCGCCCAGGGGTTCGTCGTGTACGACATCCGACAAATCCAAAACAGGTCCGTGGTCGTCACGGTCCATCCTGCCGAAACAGCAAGTGGGGAAAGGCGTGTGTAAAAACCGAATTTTCTATGCAGAGGCTTGTATCGCACAATGAGACACGACCAAGCTGTCCAGCGAGTTGCAGGTGAACCAGTTTACGGCTAAGAACAATAACAACGCACGGTTTAAGCTGACTATGTGCTTTCCTGCACACTTAGGTTCGTTCCACGTAGCTAAACGTGCGCGATAGAAGTCGAAGAGCACACACCGCTGAGCCTATGTTGCCTTTCTGTCGCCTCAAGTAGCTCAGAGGAAGCGCACGACAGCATACATTAGGGTTAGGTTGTATGCTAGATTATAGGAAGTGGCAAGACGCGTAACACGTGCCCGCCACCGACGCGGTGGCATGATGCATGGGCAATCCGTCGAGTACTGTAGTGACCGAGACAACGACACGCAGAACTAGCTATGTATTAGTGTCACTACGTATTACGCACGCTAATGGATCCACTTTGAGGTGGCGTTCATATTCATAAATATTGCAACAAGTGTATGATCAAAAGCATACGAACAATAACATGCAATGTTGAATAGTGGGCAAATGCGATGTCCATGTAAATCTAAGACATAACGGATGCTCATACTTCTAGTGTCCGTCCCACACGAGTTCTGCTTGGTGAGTCATTACAGCTGCATCTTTGCGAATAGGGTTCACACGAGGATAGACAAACTATGCGCAACAAAAATGAACAATCTCTCCCCTAGGGAAGGGAGTATGCACGTACTTTCTCATCATATTCGTGCATCACCTCCGCAGCGATAATACTCCGATCCTTCAACAGTGCTTCATACGCGCGGGTCAGGGCCCGTAATTGCACACTGACACCAGCCATAATGCAACAAATCAGTACCCAATTCGCACTGGTCACCGCCATCCACAGTACAGCATGTACAGGAGAGTATATAACGAATAGCGCACTCTCGAGGGGTCCAGGGGTCCAGACTTCAAGCTGCTGAATACGCTCCACATTACGATTAGCTCGAATAACCTTCTCTCTTGTCTTGGGTGGGCTGAGGTTAAGCAGGAATCGTAGGGAAACCAGAAACGCGCGCCACAGATGGGATACTAGGGAAAGAAGTAGGGGTCCGATTCGGTTAGGACGAAGGGACGACTGTTCATCCTCCGATGAAATCTGGACTGTACGCGGACGGAGAATGAAATCAGCATGTGGGGACGAGACAGGATCCGTTGCAAGCGTAAGCTGATAGAGGCGGGTACGAGTGAATAGATACAGAGCATTCAGAATTGCGGCACCCAGGAGGATCGTATACGCCAAGAAGGTCTGGATAAAACTAAACAAAGACTCAACACGTAGGGAATACAAACACTTACCCAGTTAAACCATGACTCGCCTTCGCCTTCATGATACATGTCTTCCCAACCAAGATCGGATTCAGGTACTTTGCTACCGCGAGAGAGGCGCAGGAGAAAGTGCAAAACGTGTGCGGAGCCGCCAAACAACCATGCCGTAGTGGTAGGTGCAGGGAGTGGCACATTATGCGGGAAAAGCGATAATTCAAAGGCAATCGCTGAGGGCAGTGATGTAATCCTGAGTTGTGTCAAATTTTACAAGAACCAGTTAACTATATTGAAATGCAGAAATCGCCGCCAGGCAAGCATCGAAGAAGGAACATACCGGTCCACCAACCCCCTCTTCCTGACGACTCTCTCTTTCTTCTTAGTCGCAGGCGGGTCAGATCCTGCAGATCCTGGCGTGGGGGTACCAATGTCACTTTGACGCAGTCCGCGTACCCTCTTTGAAACTGGGGTGGCATACGGCGGCGGTCTCCGCGACCGTGCAGCATCCCAATCAAAAGGGGTGGACGCCGATATAGAGGGTGAAGTTACGGGAGAATGCGGGTAAATCAGACGGGTGCGCGGCGTCGTAGGCACATGCCCTCCACGGTTGGGCGTTGACAGTAGCGACCCAGGAGAAGTAGATGAAGTACCTCGCCGGGGCGACGAGGTTGATGATGTTGCATTGTTAGATTGAGCTAAGCGGCGAAGCTCCATGCTTGTCGTTAGGCTTTAGCTTGAAAATAAAAGCTGCAGGTCTCTTTCGAGCTCTTGATCGGACGCGTCTGAGCTCTGTGTACTAGTTTCATTCTCCGCACTAGCTGTGGGAAAAACAATGTTCTATGTAATAGCAGTGAGTATTGGGTATTATATAGCATTACCCCTTTTGTCAAGGATATCTGGTCTTCGAGGCAGCATGGCTATAGTCTCGTACCAACATCCTACATGATATAGCATCTACACCAGCGATGAAATTAGCGGATGACGTCCCAGTAAAGTTGCAACTTAGTACTTTTGTGTCATAAGAATCTCGGCAACGTGTCGCACAATTTATTTGAAACTCCGGATACACGTGTGGGGTTTATTATGGTCTATTTGTTTACCATATTTCCGCATTTGGGAACAATGTTGAAAAACCAACCGTATCCGACCAGCACCTCATCTCTCTTCTTCTACTTCTTGCCTTTTGTTCCGTCTATAAATTTCGATACGACACACATCCCATCTCAAATACCGACTACGCGTAATCCTCACCCATCTTCCCGTTTTTCACCATTACGTCCACTCTTAGAGCCGCTACCTCAACATCCTTGTCGCCCTCGAACTCCGTTAGCGTCAGGATGGCCCAACCTTCGTCCTCCCATCGAGAGCGGGAGCGGGAGCGAGAACGCAGCAGTTCCTCCCGGCACCATCATCACCGCACCATATCGTCTACCACACTCCTCCTCGTCTTGTCCCTCGTACTGGCCGTACTTGCCATTATGCTTTCACTTCCTTCGTCGCAGGCCAACAGAGACGGAGCTACTTCTAGTGATCCCGCTAACCAAGGCCTGCTGGGGTACCTGACACCAAAACGTACTCAGGCGCTGATTGCGCGCGAGAGTAACGTCGCCATGCGCGAAGCTGAAGTTGCTCGCCGTGAAGCCGAAATACTAGCCGGTGCACCTGGTGGTGTAATCGCCAACCAACCTCCGGTCGTTTGCCCCCCTTGTCCTACCGTTGTCGAAAAAGTCACGGAGCCTGCTCCTCCTATTCAGACTGTCATCAAGGAAGTTGTAAAGGAAGAGTCGCTCACACCACCTGGATGGTGGGATCAGGCGCGTGTTCGCGCTGAAGATATCTTGGATCGCGAGCTCAAAATTGCTGAACGTGAACGTGAAATCAGCCGACGCGAAGAGGCAGTCAATCGTCGCGAGCATGACGCGTCTAGGCGTGAAAGCTGGATTATGGAACAGCTTGTGTATGTTTTCGTCCATCCATTAATATTACACTCAACTAACACTATTCCAGCGCTTTAAACAACGACGAATCCATGGTTGAGGAAGAGGTCGTTTACGATCCACGACCAGCAAGCCCCATGAGGAGACCCAAGGTACCCCCGCCTCCGCCTATTCAGCGCCGCTCCGAGCTCTGAGACGAAGGGGGATTCCTCTGCCGACAATTTATCTTCTTGTCTTGCTTTTATGTACAAGTTCGTTGTCTTTGTCACGTCCCCCCTCCTCCTTCGTCGCCGGGCTTGGGGGACCACGGTGTTTCAAGCTTTGTCCCCCTTGTCCATTTGCATACTGGCCATTCGCCTGCGTCCGTTGGCTGTAGTTTTGGCCGATCTCCGATCGATCGTACTGGAGATCGTGAATAACACGTGATCCTTCGTATTGCATGGACGCAGACGGATGATCAGTCTGCACTCCCTTTTGTGGCTCTTAACAATATCTGACTGTGTTCTTTCATAGGCTCCCCTTTATAACGCTCTTCCCCCTCCACTTCTCACTGAAACAGCCCTCGAGATAGCGACCGAAACAAGGACGGTCACACGCACGCAGCATCACACAGTCCCGACACAGGTCTCGTCTGCACCTCCACCCGCCAACACACGCATCGTCTTAGCACCAACACCCGAGCTGGTCTCGCCCTCATCCTTCACCACTCACATTCCGCGTACGACCGCCGTAGAAGTGATCACTGAGGAGCCCGTCATCCCGGAACCTGAAGAGGAAGAGGAGGAGGCCGTAGTGGTCAAAGTCAAGCGGAACACGCGACAAAGGTCGCCGCCGCCCGCGAGTTGGCTTAATGGCTGGTGATAGCGAGAGTCTGCTATGTATGATGAACGTGTGCGTGATGTGACGTCTTGACCCTTTTGGAACCTATCTCTTTTATTGCTTTCATTTCTAGTTTTTTCTTTCGATCCATCTTTTTTGTTATTTGCACTGACCGGCTGTATTACCTGCATTGGGTGTTCTCCGTCGTCTACTCACCCTTCCCGCGCGATACCTTATGTCTTCGTTACATTACTGACGCGATACGATTACCTGATGGATAGAGGTCCACTCAGCACGGCTTCTTACGGTTTCCCCCTTGTGCTTGTGCTATATATCATTGTGGATGGGATAGTGTAGATTAACAAAGACGATGGCTACGTGCATGGGAGTTGTCACGACGGTTAACATTGTCACTGGCTGTTTATACCAACATCGCCGGGATACTGCCGCGGATTTGCCGGAACGAGAGTCGGCCTGTTTCAGTGCGAATATTACATGAACGCTTTCTGAACTCAAGGTCGAGATCGCAGATCAATCGTTATCCTGTACTCCGTCTACCTGCTCCGCCGCTAAACCCACCGGTCAATTCTTCAGCATTACCTACTGTCAGATCAATTATATTTTCTCTTACCTGTGCGCGACTCTGGCTACTGATATCAATACACGTACTGTGGTGGGCGAAGATAGTTCGTTTGCGGAAAGTCGTGAGAGTTAATACCCAAGCTACGGTCCAAAACACCCTGGAGGTGGGTTTTTCTGTGATAGTATGGGTTTCCCGGCGTGCCGCACAACACTACTACAGCGCTGCTCTCATTATAAGAACTGATCTTCGGTATCGAATAATAGGGAGTCGTTCTCATCTCCTTTTCCGAGGTGCACGATGCCCATGCGGTGTATGGTGAGTACTCAAAGAGATCGTTGATGCTTGCAAATGACAATATCGAACAACAGTTTTATGACGATAACGGCCAGCCCCACGGGCCTGGTTGCAAGCGCAAACTTGAAGTAAATGGCTGCACTTACATCCACCCAGGCGACCCGGAATGGGCCACTGCTAGACCACCCACAAGAAAATATCAGGTATGTCTGAGTTCTTCTGCACTATGTACTTTTGCAAAGCCTACTGCGATTCTAATCTCAGGCGGGGCGAGGGAGGGGCAGAGGGAGGGGAGGTCTGCCAGGTGGAGATCGAGGGTTCAACACCGTCGCTTCTGGCAGTACATGGGGCGGTAACTCTTCGTCGTGGGGTAACCCTGAGTCCTCCTCGTCCGCAAATTTCGCCCCATCATCCTCAATACCAACGAACACTCCGAGCGGCAGGGACTCGGGGTGGGGTTCGTCGAGTGCATGGGGTGGGACGACGGGCAGGGGGGATCCTGCTTCGGGCGGAGATGGAGTGGGTGGGAATATCGTTGCTGCAGGGTGGGGCAGCCCCCGCGTCCCCACAGATGCGAGAGTCCAATCGAAGCCTGCCTCGTCTGGAGAGGCGAGTGCGCCAGGCTGGGTCCCACCTGATCAAAGTTGGGGGAGCTCATCTGGCGACTGGGGACAAACAGGTGGCTGGGGAGATTCCGCTAACGCATGGACAAATGCGAGGAGCGCATGGAGTGACGTGAAGAGGATGGAAGAGCCGAAAGCGAAGGACTCGGGGTGGGGTGCGTCTATATCACCGCCAAAGCAGTCGGAAAGCGCAGGCTGGGGCTCGTCGGGAACCATCAATTCACAGCCAGGACATGCAAGTTGGAGTTCATGGAGCACGCCCGGTTCACAAGCGGGAAATGCGGGTTGGGGCTCGTCGGCTAGCCAAAATCGGCAGACATGCGACATTGACAAGGACCCGTCAACAACGAAGAACGGCGAAGGGTGGCACTCGACGGATCAGACGACGAGTTCCGGTTCTCGCAGTTCATTTACCGCACCACGGTCGGATAGCGGATGGGTAGCAATCAATCAGGGCAAGCCGGAGCAATCAGACGTCAGTTCAGCCTCCATACAAAAATCTGCCAGATTCGACGACAGCAAGAGTCGTAATGTAGTAGACTCCAATGGTCCTCAGGTTTCGCCGTTTGCGTCGCTTCTCGATCATTCAAGCGCGCCGAGCAAGTGGGCATACTCTTTCGTCAACTTTGGAGGCAGTGTCCCGCGAGCAGCGTCGCCTTCTCCATCTACGACTACTGAGCACACCGAACGCTCATCAGCCCCGAGTATCCCTAGCGAGCAGCGTGCCAGGAAAAACTACCCTAGGTATGCATACATATTACTTAGTACGCTATTCTCATGCATTAATCACCATCCAGAAACATTGGACATGCAGTGCTTTACCAACAGGATGTTATGGATGCGGAGACTCAGCGAGACAAAATCAAGCAGTTGCAAAAATCCCAGCAGTTCAGCAGTGTAGGCGACAAAGGGAGAGATCGGCTCGAATCGATCCGACATGATCAACACAGGACGTACCTTCAAGTAAACAAGCAGCTAGCGCACGCTATCGAGAATTTAGTAGAACATACCGTTCGAATGGGACCCAAAGATACTAATGAAGAACGACAGGCTGCCGCTGAAGAATTGGCGGTGTACGTGACCCAAGCCAAAGGATGGTTGGAAAGCATCTGGCCACATGCGATTCAATTCCAGGAACTGACTAATATGGCTCAGACATGCCCCGGCACGAGCTGTGACGTGCGCGCAGTACCCCCCGAGCAAAATCGCCACAGTCCGAGCCTAGACAGCGAGCTCTCCGCGCGCCTACAAGCACTCGAAGCTGCGTCCAAAGCCAACGAGAGTTACCTCGAAAAGCTGCGATTGTCCACGCTGTCAGTCATTGAGGATGTCGCGAACATGAGAGCAAATGAGCTGCAGCGCGAAAATACCCAGGCAATTGAATTTGAGGAAGGTGAAGTGCTGCCTCCCGAAGCCCAACTTGTGGCAGATCTCTCGAACTTATATGCATCGTTCGAGCATGGAGATATGTCTCATGAGCTGGTATCAGTGCGTGGTGAGCTTGAAGATCAACAGCGCTATCTGCAAGCACTCCATGAACTCAGCAACCACACCCTCCATATCCAAGATCAGAACCAACTCTACAAGCACAAGATACACATGCCAATGGTATGCTGTTCATAATCATGGATCATTTACCTGTTCAACACTAATTGGAACTTGACCAGGTTGAACACACTGCTAACCACGCTCAGGCACAATCAGCCATAGAAATGAAAAACAGTATTAAAAGGCTCAGGATGATAGTTGAAGAGCTTGACAACAATTCTCATACCCTATATTCTCTACCACACCAACCAAAAGGACCATCAACAGTGGAAGTTGTTGAGATACTGAAGGAAGCCATTATGCCATCCATAGAGGCTGACCTGCAGAAGGGGATAATGGGGATACAGGAAGGTTTAGAACAAAGCTTTCATGCACAGCTTGATAACATCAAACTTGGGTTTGAAGTGAATGTACAATCATTGTGAAGGGCCATTTTGATTTGGGAGTTGGTGGAAACACTGGAGTCAAAAGGGCAGCAAGTGAGAATTGTATCCATTAAGTAGATATAAGACCTATCATATTTATACCCATGCTGTGCATAGTCATGCTTTTTCCAGTTTTGCTCATGCTGTCATTGTTCACTATATTTGTTACAGTGTGAGGGGGGTTTTCTTTTCTTTCCTAACTATTCGTCGTTGACCCTGTAACTGTATGACTGATCCCATCACTTGATATGTCTCACCTACATCAAGTGTTTCATATCTATCACATTTCACCTCTATCATGTTTTACTTACATCGCATTTCATCTCTATCACACTTCATCTTCATCACTGATACAACCCAGTGAAACCTGTTTCATGTACATC